CCCCCCCCCCTCTGGTATTCATGTATCTCCTTTAATAACTGTTGTAATTAAATAATTAAAAAGCTTTCACTGCGATTGTATATGTTTTAAATCTTTCAAAAAGGTTTCACCTCATACTCGCTTACATACAGTTTGGGCCATTATTTCTTACACTGCTTTATAATTATTCTAATAATTTTTGTATATAAAACTTATACTTAATATCAACAGAACTATTTAGTGCCCTTCTTTTATTCAAGTGTGGAGAGCTTGCTGTAATTAAAATCATAACTTTGGCAAGCCACTCTTTATTTTGTTAATACTTTTACCAGTGTAGCAAAATACAACAATTTAGTGCATTTTATATGAAAACTGAGTGCGTGTTCACAATACTCTCTTAGCTGTGTGCTCCAGTCATTTGAGGTGTGACCCAGTCTCCTTGATTGGAATCTGATATTGATGTTAGCTGCAAAACAAGTAAAGGTTAGTAGGCCAGCTGCTAGGTTAGGTCATTAGCAAATGGTAGGGTCAGCACATAAGCCAGGAGAGCTTTAGGGTCAACATTGATTCATTGAGAGAAAAGTTTGATTTTGTCTAATGTGAACATGGTTTTCCTGTTTATGTAAAAGAGCAGAATCAACTTTCTGCGATATTGTGTCAGAAGTTTTGGATTGCACTCTCAAACGAAATAAAATGGAATTCCTTTTGCTTTTGCAGCTTTTGATTCAACCTTTGGACAAAAAAAGCCTGTCTCCTGTTAGACTCTGCAAATCTGTTTGTATTAATATCATTTTTCTCTATCTATCTAGCACCACTGGCTAACCCAGAGCTAATCTCCCTCTTTACAAGTGTAGATTAATTCAAGATGAAAAGTTGCAACAGCATTTTGAGAGAAGGATGTCCAACAGAAAAGAGCGTGTAAAAATTTTACACGTAGTTTTACAAATAAAACTACCAAAAACTAGTAGGTTAAGAGAATGCTGTTGAATGCTATGCTTGTAGTGCAGAGATGGTGCATTTTTTCTATATTGTCGAAAAAAAAATACTATCAGGTAAATATTACTACCTGATAGTATTTGTTCCCGTCTTTGTTCTGTATGGTGTCATTCGTGTTTTAAATTGGAAAAAAACTGCATAGACCAAAAGAGAAGAGAGACATAAAGGCAAACCACTAGCTGTACTGACGTGGTTTTAAAATCATCTACATTAATAAATGCCAAGTACAACAACAAAAAAAATGTTTTAAGGGTGTAATTGTTACCATAATGGTCAGACCAGTCCAACATAAGGGCATTGTAAAGGGCACAGCATTTCTTGTTTTTCATCAGAAGGGCTGTTCACCTTGTGTTCGTTCACTGCAAGAGCACTCATCATGGCATCATGTTCTCTCACACGTGACAGCACCCTAATAATCACTAATCGTGTTTTTACTCACTTGAAATAGCACCCAGTTCTGCACTTAGGCATGTTAGAGGCACAATGGATCACATCTTTTCCACTTCTTCTTCATACCTCCCCCATAATTACAACAGCAGCTCATATGACACTGCATTGCATCTCCTTTATTTAAAGGCACTTTATCATGCTGCCTTGTAGGTGAGTGTAGTTACTGTCCATATTCTACCAATGTGAGTGCGGTCAAGAGGGCATTTAATCCTGTATTAAACATAAATAAGATGAATACTGGAGAGCTTGATATGCTTTTTCCCTTGATTGGAACTTTACAAAGCTTTTTTTATGCTTGAGTCTCACTCTTACTACACTTTATTGAGGTATTTCCTCTCCTTGGGGGAAGAATTGGCCAGTGAGCAATGTCATCAGTCATTACCATGCTGTGTCATGGTGACCACCTTCCCTGCCAGACCACAAAGGTAATTACACCTACCTACAGTGATAGCTTTACTGATTTATCTTGCCTACAGTTGCCTATTGTGCATCTACAAGCTGCTTTGCAACCCACCTGCACCTCATCTCCTTGTTTTCATGTTGTGCCTGACTGAATAAAACCAATCTGTTATCAGTGATGCCTGCTTTGTTCTGTATGGTGTCACTCATGTTAAAATACCCTTTTCTTTGAAAGACCTCTTTACTATGTTTGAAGCTTTGAAATGTGATTATTTGATATATAGTGTAGCTTTCTTGGACGTTACTGGTTAAAATACAGCGCTTTCTAACCAAGCTGGCTAACTTTGGCTGATAACTCGAAATCTTGTCCAAATATGGTAGCTTCAGACTCTGACCATCTTAAACAGCTGGCAAATAAAGGAGGCCAAAATGCTAACGTTAAGGTTTCAAAATGGAAAGTTCAAAATAATAGGGTCATGTGATTATAGTGGATGAATTCATCTTTATCTGTGTTTGGATCAAGCATTTAGTGCAGAGATGGCGAAGTGTGGATGCAGTGTATACATCACAAACCTTTGAAGTTACAAAACTGACTTAAAAAATAGTGTCTACATAATAATGTTAAAGTCATGTTTGCTGAAATTAAGGCTAACAAGCAAGGCTGTGAACCTGTGTACTCATTGGTTAATGGCTTGTCAATAAATGTAACCTGGATGTCCCACCTTTCTGACACTAGGAATGACCAGAATTTTCAAAATGGACTTAATTTTTTATAAGTATGACCCAAAACTAGTGACTGTGCCATTAAACTCACTGGAAAAGTGTTTTCTTTGCTTAGTTTAGGGCAAAGGGCTGTTTTTTTTTTTGTTTTTGTTTTTTTTTGTAGGCTTCTGTTTTGCAGCCAAAGCTATCGCACCCTGGAGGCCTCTAAAAAGAATGCAGTTTAAGGCACTGCAATGACTTCACTTTTCAGTCCCAGAAGCTACACCCATCTTTTATATTGTCTATGCTTGCAATACAATGGCCTCAGCTGTGTGATGTCAAGATGCAAGATACAGCTGCACTCCACCTTTTCATTCAAGTATGGGCACTATACTGGATCCGAAAAATTAACATAACATCACGGAAAATACACAGTCCAAAACCGGTGGGTGACGTCACCGCGGTATGTCCATCATTTATACAGTCTGTGCTTTAGGTAGGCCTTTTTGTCGCTCTGCTGGGGACCCCATTTCCCATAATTCATCTATAGCTCACCTTTGCTCCCATCCATCCATCCCCATAGGCCTGGCCCTCTACTTCCCATGTATGGAGTGTTACATCATTGGCACAGACACCCACCTTTTCCAGTGATGACGCAGCCCGGGAAGAGTGTGTGTGTGTGTGTGTGTGTGTGTGTGTGTGAGGAGGAGGAGGAGGGGGGAGAAGGAGGAGGAAAGGCAGGGAGGGAGGGAGCGAGGAGAGAGGAGAGGGTGTCCCGTCTGCACGGAGCTCAGACAGACAGCAGGGAACAGCTGCAGCATTAGGTTCGCGTAGGATTTCACTGCATTGCGATTTAAAATTTAAGTAATTTCTTTCCCCAAACTTCACGTAGAGCAGCTCGACAAAGCAACCAAACATCATCTAAAAAATGGTTGATCGCGAGCAGCTGGTGCAGAAAGCCAGGCTGGCTGAACAGGCTGAGAGATATGATGACATGGCAGCTGCTATGAAATCGGTAAGTCAATTCAAAATAACAGTAAAATACAAAAAAAGAAAGATGATAACTGTGGCTTACATGTGCGTGAATATCGGTGTAAAGCTGCTGCGTTTGCGTAAAGGCTCGCCCTGCGTAAAGGCTCGCAGCTGTAAAGCTGCGGTTACAACTGGCTCTCGATATTACAGCACTACATCTGGGGGTCATTCTGAAATAACGTTCATTGTGTTTATTGTGCTGTCGCCAGTTCACTGACAGCTCAGAGGCTTTTTTTCTGATTCCCGTCCAAATCGGCTCCTCCTTGGGCGGTGCCTTTCTATCGGCCGTGCCGCTCATTGAGGGCGCGTTACAATGAAACGCATGCAGGCCCGAGCTTTCACTCTCAGGCTAAGAAGAGACTCGAATCGTGGAACGGCTCTGCTCTGACACATTTGCTGATTTCCTTTTTTCTCTCCCCTTCTTTCACCACCACACCTCCCATTCCTCCAATTTGCTGAATGTCTAAGAGCTTCTGCTGCTGGGAGCCATGTGAGGTTGCTCAGGAAAAAGCCTATCAACTGCTCTTGCCCCCCCTTCTCCTCGTCCTCTTCTCCTCCCACTCCTCCTCCGCCGCCTCCTCTCCTCTCTCTTTGTCACATAAATTAAAACAATAAGAATGATGGCGATCATTTTAATGTTTCTACTCGAGGCTTGGAGGATAAATTGGAGCATGATTGCTTTGGACAAAGAAAAAGCTTTCATAAACTAAACGCTCTCCTCCAAACAAACGTAGGAGGCAGCAGAATCTCTCTAGAATATTCTTTGTCATATTGCAGTGAGTCAGTGTGGTCAGATTTGATTACAGGAATTTCCTTCCTATTTATTACTTTATTTGTCAGATATCACCTTCTGTGCATGCTGCTTGTGTATCAAGGGCTGATATCTGGTAGCATTTTAATGCCATTTTTGGTTAATGACCCTGGTTAATGGTGTAATATTTGATGTGAAGAAGATGACATGCTGGCCTGCCTCACTGTAGCTTTCTCAGCTCTTAATGGATGGTGCTGAGGACAGAGCCTTTGTCTGCCTTTTTTTTTTGTTTCTCTGGCCCCTTAAGAAATTCTGGGAAGTGGATTCAGTAACAGGTTTTTAAAAAAAAAACTGCTGTGTCACACCAGCTCATACTGGAACCAGCAACATCCCGGTAGTCTCAGCACAGCGTCCGTGAGCTCACACACGGATTAAAATCATCCCACACTTTTTAAAACGAGGAACATTTTGCCTTATGCGAGATGGGTTGAGCCCCCGTGGAGCACTTGTCATCGAGGGTTTCTGGTTGCAGGAGGTGGGATGATGTGCGTGCAGGGGAGGGATTCCTTTCTCTTTAAGCAATCTGCCATGTCAGTGCGGTCCAAAGTGGGCCCTTTTGCAGGGGTGTGTACTCTCCCTCTCTAATCAAAGGGAATCCCTCGCCGTTGCAGCCAGAGAAGACAAATGATAGGCTGTCACCGTTGTGTTCCTCGTGAAAAATGTAGGCAGAAATGTGAATAATTACAAGAAATGCCCTTCAAAAGTTTCCCAACCAGTGCTGATAGACAGCCCAAAAGACAGAACTGGCACAGAACTCTTTTCACAGCTGATCTCATTTTTGCCTAATAAAACATTTAAACGACTGATTGATAACTCTGTATCAACCTCAGTCGTTCTTGTCTTGTTTTATGACCATGTTATCAGCAATGAGGTATTTGTTTTATTTTGTACATATATAATAGTATAACTATACTTATATATAGTGTACTAGTGTAGTTCCAGTTGGAAGCATCACAATAATTAGAGCAGTGACCTGTTTCCTTTCTTTTTACAACAAAACCCCCCCCACATAGGTTGAGTCATCAGATTAGCAGTAATCTACCTCATTTGACTGTTTTGTGTGTTTTTCATCTGCAGTCTGATGGTATCACTGGGTTTGTGTGACAGTTTTGAACAAGCAGAGCAAAGGCCACTCAATCCCTATGAGTTGAGAGCTTTGCTCTCCATCGCTGTGACATCAGCGAGTCTGCGCCATGTTTGTGCTCCTCTGCCTGAGCAGAGAATGTCAGACCTGCTCAGGAGAAATGTTTGCACAAAACGAAAAGCTTTTTGAGTAAAACCTGCAAAAAAAATTGCAATAAGCTCTTTCTTCTTTTCTTGGTGAAAGGTTATGATAAGCCTAAGCACCATGTTTCGTACCGATTATTGATCTGCAAGAGGCCATGTACCGGCACAAACTACGTTTCCAATATAAAAGCCTCGAGTTACATAACCCAGTCTCTTTGAGGACTGCCTGGCCAGCATTCGGATTCATCAAAATCTCAAATTAACAGCCTAACTCAGAGTGATGTCACCGTGTGGTGTTTTAGACAGGTAAAAAGGTCAGTTTCAGTTGGGGAGAAGGTCACTGGGACATGTGAACCGCCTGAGCAGTGATGGTTTTCATTTACAGTGCAGCTGCCCCCGAGTGCTCGTGGGAACATTTTAGCCATCTCCAGTCCTCCTTTCCTCTCCCAACCCCCCACTGCTGCCAACTATCTTGAATATCATTTCTCACTAACTAGCATTAGCTGTCCACGTGGCAGCTGAAGCTACTGGTGCACTAAATGAATGGATTGCCATGGAAACTGGAATTGCACATGACGTGAAATATTGCTCATCTTCTTTGCTGCGGATGGCCCCATTAACCCAGGTTATTTCATGCAAAAGAAGCCCGAGTTGTGGCAATTAGGACTGCAACTAACAGCTGCTTTTGTTATTGGTTGATCTCTACATTTGTTTAGTCTTTAAAATTAAAAATTTCATGGAGTTCTATGCTTCCATTACAAACCACTAAAGAGCACAAAATCACCCTGTTTTGAGAAGATGCAACCGTTAAACAGCAACAGCCTTGTCATTTTTACTAAATCATATTACTGACTTCTTGAGGTCATTTCTTGGATGAAATGTTCTTGCTTTAACTTTTTTTTTTCCCACAAAGTGAATGTAGTCTGGTGCTGTTATTTAACAGTCCATCTGCTTCTTCTTCTTTTTCTTGTTCTTCCAGGTAACAGAGCTGAACGAAGCCCTGTCCAATGAGGAGAGGAACCTGCTGTCTGTGGCCTACAAGAACGTGGTGGGTGCCCGTCGCTCCTCCTGGAGGGTGATCTCCAGCATTGAGCAGAAGACCTCGGCCGACGGCAATGAGAAAAAGATTGAGATGGTGCGGGCCTACCGGGAGAAGATTGAGAAGGAGCTGGAGGCCGTGTGCCAGGATGTGCTCAACCTCCTGGACAACTTCCTGATCAAGAACTGCAGTGACACGCAGCACGAGAGCAAAGTGTTCTACCTGAAGATGAAGGGCGACTACTACCGATACCTGGCTGAGGTGGCCACGGGAGAGAAGAGGGCCACCGTGGTGGAGTCTTCAGAGAAGGCCTACAACGAGGCTCACGAGATCAGCAAAGAGCACATGCAGCCCACCCACCCCATCCGCCTGGGCTTAGCTCTCAACTACTCTGTGTTTTACTACGAGATTCAAAATGCCCCCGAGCAGGCCTGTCATCTGGCCAAGACCGCCTTCGACGACGCCATCGCTGAGCTCGACACCCTCAACGAGGACTCCTACAAAGACTCCACTCTCATCATGCAGCTGCTCCGAGACAACTTGACACTGTGGACAAGTGACCAGCAGGATGACGAGGGAGGGGAGGGCAACAATTAAAAAGAAACCGCACTTCGAAAAAAAAAATATGAAGGGCCGGTGGACTTTGGCAGCCGCTTTTGCCGATGATACTACCGCAGCAGCAGTTCTTTATTTTTCCATGTGTTAAAAGAAAAGAATCAAAAGAGAGGTGAGAGTGGAGGTTAAATCTTAGTTTAAATATATATAGAAATATATATACAGTTGAAAGGGGCCTCCGTCTTCTTGATTTTCTCTTTGACATTTGCCAAAACCACTGATATGTCAGTCAATCAGCCTGAAGTGGTTGTTGTTGGATTGAAATGGCAGCCTCACACTGGCGTAGGAACTGAACTTGTTCTGTCAAGATAAGCTGCTTAGTTAGGTTTTTGCGTGATAGAGATGCATTTGAGTCACTTGAGAGAGAAAATGCTTGAATGGGAATGCCTCACAAAACTAGTTTGCATTGGTTCCAGTAGTAGTCTACGTAAGAGAAAGAGCCCTGAAAGCCACTGATGCTTTAAACTCACACTAGCAAACAAAGAGAAAGTTTCAAACCAGTCAAGTCCCCCAAATTTTAGAGGTTAAATTAAACGGGAGTGAAAATATCTGAGGATTGGTTAGTTAAATTTAATTCCCCTCGTTCTATTAGTCCGTTTTGTCGCTGGAACCATCGATTCCTTTGGAGGTGAAGATTACTAAAAGGCAGAGACTTAACAAAATAAAACGAAAAAAAAAAAGACAAAAAATACAAAATAAAAGCAGCTTCAGAGTTTGTGGTTTACTTCTGTGTTTGTTTTATTAAATGCACTTGCCTACTATACTGTTTCTTCAGTGTAAGATGATGACAACAATAATATCGATTATTCAATATTGTGCATGCCGGTGATGTATTTATATACAGTAGCTTGACTTTATTAACTTATACTGTGGGTGTTAAGTATTCATATGATTGAGAAAAACAGGCTTTGTCTGATGTTGATTTCTAATTTATTTCATTTTGTTATGGTTTTTGATTTGCTATACCAAAATGCTGATCGTAAAAATTGACCTGTAATGGGCGTTGCTATAGTGACATGCAATATGTGTATTTTAATTTGTTAATGAAAGAAAAAAAAGGAAGATAAAAACCCACCAGTGATCACCTAATCTTATCAGCTGGTGTTTGTCACATTGAAGTATGATTATGATATATTTTGTTCTTTGAACAGTATTTAAGTACTTTTTTTCTGTCATGCTATCCAGTTTTAATAATGGTGAAGTTTCCAAGCTCAATGTTTCTGTTATGAATTCACAGACATGGACCATATTTTATTTCTGACAGTATACATTTTTTTTGTTTGTTTGTTTTTATACTTTTTAGCTGTTCCTGAGTGACAAAATATCTTGAATGTGAGTCATTATGTAGCAGTTGCACAAGAACCGAAATAATAGCTATGATAATAAAAAAAAATATGACTAAATTATACATGCACCATTTCCGTGGTGGTCTAGTGTATTGTTGTATCGTCACCCATAAGTAAATTTGTTCTTAAAGAAAACCATTTCATAGGAAAAAAATGTTTCACTATTGTTTTGTGCCCTGAGTACAGTACTGGCTTCTTTTTGTGCGTGCCTGTATTATTTAAGATGCCTCGTTTGCAAGTTGACCTTTAATGGGGGAGAAAAAAAAGGATTTATCTGCCAGTATTTTACTTTCCTGCAAGGATGTGTGAAAGATAATATTTTCCCTTCAGTGTTTTCTCATTTTCACGTTTCTGCTGTCTGTACAGCACATGGGTATGAATAATCATCACCAACAGTCACAGGGAGAGCACAGTCAGTTCGCTAGTGTTGGTTATCGATTAGCGACTACACGTCTTCAGAACAAACTTTAAATAAACACTTAGAAGCTGCTTAAGAGGACAGAAAGCTGCTGAACGGGTTTACAGTCACAATGCTGCTAGTTCTTTAGAGTATTAATATATTCACACAGATGGAAGTTTAGTTTTTTCTTAATGCATGGCAGGTTGCGAGACCTTTTTTATTTCAGATGTGACGACTTGAGAGAGAAACCTAAAGCCTTAAGGTCAGTCATACAACCTTGTTCATGTATGCCGGTTATGTCACCATCATGAGTCAGTCTCCATGAGCTCACACTTTATGTTACAGCTGCTGATTTATTTTTAACGCAGTTTAAAAGTTGACGGCGCTGAAAAACTCGCCATTCAAAAAGCATGAAATCCTAATCGGCACAACTGCTCACGCATGTCACCGATATTAAAATGGAGTTCAGTCCTTTGCTTTAATTTTTAAGTGTTGTGTGTGGAAATGAGTAGAAAGGGAATTTTGTCACTTATTTTTGTTTGGATATTTTTGAAAGACTTTCACTCATTGTCAAGAAAACATGCATTGTGTTCCCTTTTTAAATTAATTTGTTTTATTTTCCCAGTGCTTTGTGTTTTTCTTTTTAAGTTTTCATTATTTGGCAGTTGATCTTTGTTTTTATGACATGAAAACATGCAGAAATTACAGATAAATTACAAATTTGATTAAAAATAAAAGAGCTGAGCTGCTGCAAATTAGTCAGAGTTGGGGGTCAGGGGTTGATTACTGAAAACAGTACAAACTGTATCCTCTGAGGAATTTTTGGTTGCCATCTGTTGCCCATTAAAGTTATTTGTTTATCAGTATTATTCTATATTTTTTTCTTTTTGTCTGTTACACTCATGCCAAAACCACCACAGCTCATTCTTTTTCATTCCAATACTCAACATTTCTGCCCACACATTAATACAGGAAACCAGTTTGACCTTATATAACCTTTTGTGGGTCACATAACTGGTGCGTGTATGTGGTATGTGCAAGTGTTTGCATCCATATCTTGGTGAGTATGCGTGTGTATGCAACTGTGCTGTTCCATGTGCTGAACTTATGAGATGGAGTCTGTATTAGCTGCAGTGCAGAGATGCTGCCAGCACATACAGCTTACTGCAGTATGTCTTACATGAGGCTCTTTTTCAGGTCGCTTTGCTAATCATTAACTAAATTAGGCCATAGATCAAAGAATATTTCTTGAAAAGACTAGAGGTTTTATGACCGCAGCAATAAAACAAAGTCCTGGATCTAATGTTGGGCAAGGATGGAGAATCAACATCCCTTAGGCTTTTAAATTCACCTCCCTGTTGTATTTTTTGACACCCAAAGGTCGAGTTTATCTGAGCATTTATGCACATCTGTCAACCCAATGTCGCTGATAAAGCTGCTGGCTCGCCCACCCCCGGACTGCAGCCTCTCGCTGCAGCTTGCTGCACTGAACCTTTCATGAGATGAAATTCTCTGCTTTGAAAGGTCCTCTTCACCAGCCAATAGCTGACAAGCTTACTCTCTGCAGTCACCAATCCTGTTCCTGTTGCTAGGGCTATAATAAGTACCCCACTAGCAGCCCAGTACCTATTGCATCCTGTAAAAAATGAAAGCTCAGAGCGCACAGGAGGCATTAGGATTCAGCACCAACCTATCTTCATGCTGGTGCTTCAATGCACTCAGTGCCACACTTTCAGGGACACCGGTGTCACAGTTGTTGGTAAATGCTGCTGACATTATGCATCCCAAAACACTCTGGGGCCTGCTGATGGACGTGTAATTGAATCTCCAGTAGCTACAAATTCAATTTAGTACCACTCATGGCAAATTCTTTCAAATCTGAATAAAACTCAATAGTTTTACATGCATACATATACATATAGTTTTCCATACATATATGTTCATTTAAATTAGTTATTTACATTAGGTGTTAAAGGCCCTATGCACGGGAAACATTTGTTTAACTGTGCATCACTTCCACATCCACAACAACTGCTTTGTCATTACAGGAAGCATCATTTCCCTGATGAGTCCAGGATGACGATGCAGTTAGGTATCATCGAGCCATTGTCATGCCATCAAAATGTCTTTTAAATCACTGAATCGTTATCATCAACAGAGGGCCACAATTAGATTTCCTGAGACGTTTCTGGTGATACAAAAGAATGTATACCTTTGATGACGGATTAAAAATAAACTTTGGAAGTCAGGCTTGTAGTGATAGGGGCAGGTTATTTTTGTCCTCTCTGAATTTCACAAGCTCTTTCAAGGTTGTAGAGAAGTAGCTGTCTACACACTTATTTAGATTATGTACATGACGCATAGAAGAGGAAACTGAAAGTACAGACACTGAATTTAAAGACATTTTATAAATATGCTTATATGTCTTATTTCACCATTCTCATCTCTTTCCAGCAAATTAAAGCGAAAGAGTTAGCCTAGCGCTATCTTAAAATAACTAAAACTCCCTGCACTGCACTCCCAGTGTGTCCAGTACCTTGGATATTTTTAGTACATCCTTGTGGTATAGGATTGTTTGCCCTGCTTGTGCTGTTGGCCATGAAGTTAAAATAATACAATGCTTTTACAAGGTGCTTTACCTTATAAAAGTAGGCACATAAATGCTTTAAACAGGTGATTTTAGCCCCTCTCTAGGTGGTTGCCAGGCAACCTGATGGCATTATCGTATGTCGTTATATTGCAAGTTTTGTGGATGTAAATCAAATGTTACTGTCATGAAATGAGAAACAATGCAATTCTTTTGTATGTAACATTTTCAGGTAAATAAATACTCACACACATCATTTTAGCCTGATAATATATATGATTGTTGGGAAGCACTAATGCAGCAAGGTGTTCTCAGGTTGCCTCTGTGGTGGCCATCTTGTTTTCCCTGTAAAGAGGAGGCCGCCTCAGTTGCAGCTCTTTTATAGGCCAGTCTGAATTGAGAAGGTGTGGTCTCTATTGTATTTAAAGCTGGCAGGAAATGCTGTCTGTATGTGCAAGATATTGGCAAGAGACAATAAAGTAATTACTTCGGTTAAGATAGAGTGATGTCTGATGTTTTCCTCACCACACCTCTCTGCGTAACAATGATATAGATAAGAACCTTGGGTGGCCCAAGATTTACCTGTGTGTCAAGTCTGGTTGCTTAATTCCTGATAGGAGTTAGTGGACAAAGAAACAGACAGACAGACAGACAGAGATTTGGTGTATTATAATAGGAATGCTTGATGGGAACAAGAACAAAACCATTTTTAGACTTAAATGTGTAAAGCAGCAACTTCAGGGGCTAACAAACACAGAAGAGACGCAAATGGCAGCTCTTGGCGTAGACCCTTTGAGGCCAGCTTTAAAACAGACTCAGTCCACACAGACACTCGTGTTAAAATTCCAAATTAACTAGCACTAAATTGCATGTTGGTGATGAGCATTTTTTTTTTTTACCTTATCCATTTGAATATTAATTAAGGCTTAAAGTTAGGGATGTTGACCCTTTTGATTGACAGGTGTGCTGGCACAGGCTGCTGTAGCCAGTCACTGATTGGTAAGGGTTGCTCTGATAATTCCAGCAATCTAACAGGACAAGAAAAGTCAGGAAATTTGTGAAGCTGTGTTGTTGTTTTTTTTTTGTTGTTGTTGTTTTTTTTTAATCAGATTTGACTGGTGATTCAGGTTTTTATGTCTGTATATAAATACTGAAACTTAAGTTAATTTAAAAGATAACCTGCTAAACGTGTACCTGGAGGCTGCCAAGTGCAAACACATGCACAGAAGGATTTTTCTAATAATCGTGACTTTTATATTTTTAGTTACTAATGCAATTAAAATATGAATGGGATTAATTGGCAGGTTTTCTTGTTGACAGGAAACTCCAGTCTGTCTTAGCTCAGGTAAGGTTTTACACTACTTTTCTTAAACATCAAGAAAACACCAGTTTCTCAAAATCTAAAATTTAGGCTTTTGATACCTTATGCAAGACTTACGGCCTTGAGAAACAAGACTTTTTTCCGATACTTGCAATTCCGTGACTATATTGGCAAAAGAATAAACAGCTGTGTCCCTGGAGACTTCTCGATTGCTAACATCTTCATTGACGCTTATGACTCCGGGAGTAACAAAGCCCTGATAAGTAAACTGTACAAATGTATGACTAAGCTCAAAAGGGACTCGACAATTTACATAAAACAGAAATGGGAAAAAGAAATGGACATTGAGATTACAGAATATGGGTGGACACGGATTTGGGAAACACAGTTTACCACAACTAACTCCAACATGTGGCGGGACTTTTGTTGGAAGAACATTATACGCTTTTTCATAAGACCTAAACAAAAGTCGAAATTCAGTGCTACACCTGCGCTTTGTTGGAGAAATTGTGGGGAAGTCATGGCAGATCATGGACACATACTCTGGTCCTGCCCATCCATACGACCCTTCTACGGAAGTTGCAAAAATAATCACAAAGGTACTGGGATTCAATGTGACATGTACATTTGTATCATTGTAGCTGGGATATTTTGCAGAAGATTTAGTTACAGACGATGTTTATCTCCTGAGCATTTTCTTGGCATCTGCGAAAAAGGCTATAACAAAACGCTGGCTTTGTAAAGACCCTCCC